GTTACCAGATACTGGGGAGAAATAGGCTGCACCCTGATGTCCTTGTCCCAAAGAGCAGGGAATAAGAGTGAGAGGGACTTACAGGTTTTGTTTCCCCAGGCAGCTTTCTCCTGGTACAGTGTGACTATGCACATCATTCCCTGTTGGTCTCAAGTCCATCCTAATGGAAAAGGGACTACCTGTGCTGTAGGTTGTCCTGAAGCACATGCATAACAATTGCTTCTATTTAAACTTTTCACTGTATATTTGACCATTCTACGCAGGCATTTGTATTTCCATATCCTGTTTCTATTTCAAACATCTACTTCAAATCCTTAATTTCATTTATCTTTACTACCTTAGGATTATATGGTGGAGTCCATGTCCCCATCAATAGAGGAATGGCAGTGTCCACAGGCTGACTGCAATCATTACTCTTTGGCTCCCAAACCACCATTCTAAATCTAGCAACTAGATCCCCTCCTGTGACATCAGCCCCCAGGCCATGAATTTGGCTTACTTCCCCACCAGCACTTGAAATGGCAAGTGCTACAGGACCACACTCTAAATCTCCCCAGTCAGATTTTATGGGACCTTTAAACACGTCATTTTAGTTTTTCAAGATATTCCCTGAGCACTGGGTGAAATCCACTCATTAAATCCATTAAAGGCAGTTGTAAACCAAACATCACTCCATCCAGGACAAGGCAGTCCCCAGTGGTTAGAGATAATACTCTGGGCATAAGTATTTATCTAACTGCTTAACTTTCTTTGTTCTTTTAGATCTTCACACTTGACAGGCTGTGAGAGACTGATCTGAAATCAGACTCCACTGTCCATTGTCTCAAAGATTGGTATGAGAAGCTGAGATGGAATTCCACCTATCTTTTGCCTCAGAGATGGGTGGGAGGAGTTCAGATAAGACTCCAATATCCATTGCCTGGGAAAACGGGTGTGAGGAGCTGAACTGGGACTCCACCATCCGTTACCTGAGGGATGACTGGGAAAGAGCTGAGGTAAGACTCTTCCATCTACTACCAAGCACATGGTCCATTACCACAAGGAATGCTGTGAGGAATTGCTGCCCATTATCCCAAGAATTGCTGCAGGCACATGCCGTTGATGAGCTGGCTGCAAGACCAGGGACTCTGATTCATCAGGAACAAGTAATACATGACATGAAGAACAGAGGCTCTCTCCCCAACTCATAATAAAAGGGGGAAAATGTAATCACGAAAAACAGCCATCGCCATGGGGGAAAATATAATCACGAAAAACAGCCATCGCCATGAGGATGACTCCAGAAGGACACCTCCATGAGGACACTCTCCACCGATGACTACTATGGACCCTGAGGGACACCCTCCATGAGACATTGCCATGAGGTCAACTCCCATCAGGACACCTCCAAGGGTACCTTAAAGGGAGAAGGACACCAGAAGGACACCTCCATGAAGACACCCACCTCTGACGACTACTACAGACTCTTGGGGGACACTCTGCTTCAACACCCAACAAACCCTGAAGGACTCCCACCACCTCTGACAACGGATCCCCTGGACACCGCTGGATCCATGGTGGTGACTTCTGTCTCTCTCTCTGCACCCCGAATTCCTGCTTCATTTTCTGCCTTTTTTCCAATCTGTCCTATCACTATCTTATTACGATAATTTCTCTTATCAGTCTCTCACAGCCCCCCAGGACCCAACTGACAGAGAAACCAAACCCAGTTGAGCTGTCAGACCCAAACTTCCCACATGTAGCCTAGAAGAGAGCAGGAGAGGCCCAAGAGCACCATCACCAAGCAGTGAGCGGAAATCCCACTTGCAACATCCATCCCAGACTCCCAACGCACAGCCAGGACACCTCCACGGGAACAGCGATGCTCCATCCCTGAGTGATGGCTCTGATGCCTGCCCACCCACCAGCACAATAAAGGTGTCCCTTCATCTCTGGACTGGGAGATTCCAGGCTCGCTTGTTGGCTTCCTCCTCCTCCTCTCCCATTCTCAAGGGGCAGCATCAGGGGCTGGCCCAGAGTGTTGTCCTCTCCCTGGGGGTCAGCAGCACCTTCCCCAGACCTCCCTCCTGCACCCACCCAGCCACCATGGCCCTTGCGGCTCGCCCCACAGAGTCATGCACCGCAGCCCCAATGACTTTGGACATGCTTCAGCTCTGTTCCCCTCTGGACAAGGCTATAAGCAATATCCTATCCTCATTGCCTAGGTTAGTGAGAATGGTGGCAGTGGGGCAAAGCCGTTGTTCTTTAAGAGTTCACTTCAGTGTCACGTCTGTGTTTGTGAACCGAAAGTTTCTGTTGACCATGTTTCTACAGTAGCCAAAGGGCACTGCCTGTTCCCCAGTTCTGGGGCATTTCCCCACTATAATTGCTGCTGTATCAAGTGAAGGTTTCCGTCTGTCACTACAAGCCAAGAAATCAGCCTAGCAGAGTGGCTCTCGAGGCGGTCAGCATGGGGCTGGGAGCATGCGCAGGGGGAGGCAGGAGCTCCTCAGCCATGCTGAGGCAGGGCCCCTCCTCTCCTCAGCAAGCAGGGCCCAGGCTGGGCAGTGAGCACCTGCCGTGACACTCGTGCCTGCAATGCCCCTTGCTCTTCAAGGCCTCCAGCCCTGCCCAGCAGCCAGCCAGGCAGGCACAGAGCAGCCCTTGGACACGTCCCTGGTCCCACAGAGGTGCTCATTCCCAGTGGCATTTGCTCTCTCCCCTCCGGCATGGCAGGCACATGCAGACCCAGACACTTGCAGGCCAAACTGGAGAACAAAGGGATCTGTGTCCATTGCTTTGCCTGGCGAGTTCCTCTGGGGCTGGCTGCAGCTTTCTGACAGGCAGGCCCTGCTGCACGCTCCTCATCAGCTCCACTCTTTTCTGTAGTGTTTTGCCAGTGGGAATTCCCAGCAAGAGAGTAGAGTGGAAGTTCAGCTTCAGGATATTAGTCATATGATCACTGAAAAGTACTGATGCAGAATGAGACTTCTACTTAACTATCCTCCACAACCACCAGTTAGTTGATTTGTCCCAGTATTTATAGTTCACCATTACAACTGCCAAAACTGGCAACCACCAGGATTGTTGTCTCAATTAAGGACAGTAAACAGATTGTCCCATTTTTTTTTGTAATGAAAAAACCTAAAATGTAATACTTCACAGTTTAACATGTTTATTCATTTAAACAAGCTAAGAAATAGTGGTGTGACATCTGCTTGAGAGACACTGGTACCTAACATTTTGGCTGTCTCCCCACCAATTTGGTTGTGATTAAGGGGGAATAAAAGGAAGAGTAGGGGATTTTGTCAACTAAATGCACTGACGAATAACAACAACAACAACAAAAATATTCCACTTTGGAAAAGTGTAGAAATACATTTACAAAAGAATGCATAATAGCAAAATAAGAGGATGAGGGAAAAAGTGTTGCAAAATATCTCCATCAGCTCTTTCAGGGAAAAATACAGTAAGCATAATATCACAGACAATCTTTGCCAGTTTATTCATCTCATGGCTTCATTTCCCAAAGTGCAGGCATAATCCCCTACAAAATCTTTTAAGAAGCAGCTCCAACATCACATTTCTGCTGTCTTATTGATATGCCATATTGTCATTTTCTTAGTCATAAGCACCAGTAATTATTATGCTACTGTAAGTAAAACTTGAAATGCAATCAAGATCTGTAATATCCCACTTGCTGGCACTCTTAACTTACTTAGTCTGCATTTCAAGTACAGTCTTTTACTGAGAATTATCCTAAATGCATCTGACCTTCACCAGCTGGCTCAGTTGTAACTTATAGGCACAATCCTGTATCAGAGTAAAATGAATCATCATTCTACCAGGAGCTGCTAGCAACATTTTCCTCCCTGAATGGGCAACATCCAAAACTTGGCCCCAAGTCAGCAGATATGCCTCTTCCATGGTAGTAATTTTCATGGAAACTGGATGAGCAGTTTATGTAGTGTTTTCAGTAAGCCTTCATTTAGTAGGGTTGTTTAAAAACTGTTACCAAACACAACTTTTAGGTCAATTGCTCTAAGATGACACCTTAGCAAACAGATGAGTTTGCTCAAGTTGCGGATGTTCACAATTACATGTTGCAGCATAATCTCGCCATCTACGTGTTGTCCTTGCTACAGCTGGTCTGATGCATGGAAAGGGCCATGACAGATCCTGAATCCCATGATGTCTATATGATACGCAACAGTGAACTTTAAATAAAGCATTCTTCAAGAAAAGTTTAAATGTATCTCTAGGGTCAATTAGGGAAATGCTTAACATGCCTCCTAAGCTTCCAGTAAAATATATTTATGGACTTTAGGAAGCAGAGTTGAAGGCTTTCTTGGCAATGTTCATCAGCCGTACTACTAAAACTACTATACTGAGGCTTCTGTCCTAAGATGGCCTACATGCTGGTTCAGTTTTTGTAGGATCAAAGAGAAAAGGAAAACTACTGAGCAAAATCACTGCTGGAAGACTACCACTCCAAAGACTTTTGCAGATGGGATGTGCTCAGACCCACAGCGTGAGGATCCAGTATAGACATCTCCTCCACAACCTCTGCAGGAAAGAAATACAGTTTACTCCACAAGCAGAGGGTAACAATAATGGTATCTACCCTTTCCCCACAGGTGAATCTCCTTGAAAAAACTTGCCCTGTTAAGCCAGGTTTGCAGCAATCTTTCTTTGAAACAAGCATATAAAAGTATTATTTTTACAATAAAATAAATATCTGAGGTTGATGGAGCTACACAGACTAACTTCTCTGCAGAAAGAGATCTGATTTATTGGGTAGGACACCAAGGGAAGTCCTCTTTATTGTCTTTTAAGTATTCAGAGGCTACACTTTGTTTTAATATGAGCTTAGAGGCTAAAACTGCCTAGAATCATCCAGATATTCTAAAACTAGTGAGTATCACTGCTCATACTTGAACATTGTGCTGTTTATATTGCTTTAAAGTTCTTCCAAATGTATATATAATTCAGTGTGTCCAACATGAGTAAGAGCACCAAAATAGTAAAAATACATTTATTAATAAAATAGACACTGAGCAACTAATACAAAGATAGGTGGTCCAAAACCCAAGAGGTATATTTCACTCTCAGATATAATTAAGGACAAAATAAGCCACATGTTTGCAAGACAAAAATCAGTCTCTAAAATATGAGGCATGGACAATGCAGCACTCCAGAAAGCAGAAATAACTTGAGGTCAGATTCTGATTTCCCCTTGGAGTAAATCAGAGTTGCAATTTCAGTGAACTCAGGGGAATCATAATTAGCAAACTTAGAATCATAGAATGATTTGGGTTGGAAAGGACCTTAAGATCATCTAGTTCCAACCCCCCTGCCATGGGCAGGGACACCTTCCACTAGACCAGGTTGCTCAGCGTCCTGTCCAACCTGTTCTTGAACACTGCCAGAGATGAGGCATCCACAGATTCCTTGGGCTGCCTGTTCCAGTTTCTCACCACTCTCACAGTAAAGTATTTCTTCCCTATGTTAGATACATGAACTTCTGTTTAAGTTTGAACCCGTTACCCCTTGTCCTATCACTACAGTCCCTAATGAAGAGTCCCTCTTGTCATCCTTACAGGCCCCCTTCAGATACTGGAAGGCTGTTATGAGGTCCTCACGCAGCCTTCTCTTCTCCGGGCTGAACAGCCCCAACTTCCTCAGCCTGTCTTCAAACGAGAGGTGCTCCAGTCCCCTGATCATCCTTGTGGTCCTCCTCTGGACTTGTTCCAACAGTTCCATGTCCTTCTTATGTTGAGGACACTAGAACTGTACACAGTACTCCAAGTGGGGGCTTACGAGAATCAGACCTCATTTCTAAGATTGTTGTGCTTGTGCCTTTTAGAAAACCAAGGATGGTTCGTTTCATTTCAGGTAAAGTGGTGGCCTTTAGCTTGAAAAGACTATTGACATAGCCCCATTAGAAATTATTGTACTAATAAGAGAAAAAGTAAATTTGCTGCAATATTAACTATGCATTTCTATGTACATGGAACAAAAGCCTATCCAGTTTATCAAAGGAAATTTTCTTGTTACATGAGAATATCTTTCATGTCAACAAAAAGGCCTGATCGAAATGAAGCCAACAAACTGCAAACTATGGCACTTGTGGGCAATATGTACTCATTCACAAGTCACAGATCAGGGAAATTGCTTCAGTCACATATATGCACGCTTCAGATTTTGTCTATAAGTCATAATTATGGGAAATACAATCTTCCTGTTATAGTAGCTTCATAAATTTGACAGTAAGAATAGCTTGCTTTTTAATCTAACTGATTCAGAAAGCAGGTTATGAGACAACCTGCATGAAGGGGTAAGTACACATCTTTCTCATGCCACATATCACCCAGAGACCTACATGCAGACATTAAGAAAGCAGTATTTCCAGCATTTAATGGAACAACAATATTGCTCATGCAAAGTAACAGGAGAGGTCTGCAGCTTCTGTGACATGTGGTGTGGCAATGGTGAAGTGAAAAGCATGTCACATCCAAGGAGACAGTTTGTGATATGCTTTTCCGTCCACTGAAAGCCAGGCCATGTGTCAGATAATGCTTCACCATGAATGCAACATGTTACTAAGCATCTGGTCACATGAGCATGTCTTAGCAGACAGTAAGTCATATGCATGCATAGATGTTAGGATTTGGTGTCTGTAACAGTCATAATTAGAAAATAAGGAATATTTGCAGATATATGTTTATGTTTCTCTTTCATATTCTTCTTGGAAGACTGTTGTACTCTGAATTTCTAGAGGAGTTGTTTTGCATTGCATAAAGTGAATGAGGAGAATGACAGATAAGAAGTGGATCCTTAGAGACTCATAATGTATATGGTCACAGTTACTGTATGGTTTAAAAATTAACTGTATTGATCTAAGTTCCTTAAGTGGCGATAATGGAACTGTGTCAATTTAAAATAAATATATTTTCCATTATAATACCTGCTATGATTTGTATCCCTTTGTTTTCAAAATTACTATAGGAAACCGTAGGCATTTCTGGAACAAGGCAGTAAATATCTCAGTTTCAACTACACCTAACATTCAGCCCTGAAATTGGTGTCAAAGATGAAGACAACCTAGTTTGCTAATAGAATTCAGAATTATAATTACTTTTCTGAAAGTCAATCTGCCTAACTTCCTTGCCACATTCAGCAAAAATGGCTCAATGCTTTTCTTGGTATCAAAGTGAAGCCAAACTAGAGAAAGACTGACCACCTTTTTAAAAGGATGAAAACTGAACCTTTACAATGACAAGCTCAGTTACATGGCAAACTCAAAGCAGAACAGGATATAGCCAGAATTTTATATCTCCCTGCAGCAGCTTTGACATACCAACTTCTTCAAGCGGCTTGTAGTTATCAAAGGGATCAGAAATTTTATCTACCGTGCATATTCTGCAAAGTACTTTGCAAGAACTGAAGGATGTAATCTAGCCAAGACTTTCCCAATTATTAGTACTCATGGAAAAAAAAACACACCAAAACCCAACAAAACAAACAAAAAAAAACAACAAAAAAAGGTTTCTTAATATTTACAACTTCTCACATCAGTTTGATGATTAAAATGATTGTATAACTGAAATCTTTTTTTACAACATCCTCCTAACAGGTAGAGCAAGCTGATGCCACAACCAGCAGGAACAGTATAATTAATATATGATTTTGACTTTATATTAATAATAGAGCGATACACTAATTAAAACCAACATCGACTGAACTTTCTATTTACACTAGTTCAGACAGCACAGGAGGCAAAGAACTGTATTTCAGAGGCATATGCGAATGTTAGAGCTTCTGTCATCCAGGTGCCATTTCTGACAGAACACATGTGTGCTGAACAGTTGGCAAAAGAATGAAAAAGATTACTGCAGATATATAGGCACACAGAATCTGGGATGACATAAAAATTAAGTCCATATAGGAGGTGACAGACTGCTTCTAGAAAGATATTTTTTCCCTACAATTTCTTCCATCTTCATAAGTGCGTGTGTGCACACATGCACAAAAAAAAGATTAAAAGGGAAAGGATGAGGGGGATTTTTGATATATTTTAAATACAAATCAAGAAAAGACTTTTTATTTGGCATTTCTGCTTTCTTTTGGGAAGGAAAAGGAAACTAATTTGGCTATTAGGAAGCTTTGATTCCTAAATTTAGTCAAGGCAGACTCTCCTCCTGTGAAGTCAGCATCAATACCCAGGATAATAATAGCACCTGTCTTTTGACATCAAAGTTCTCTGCCTGAGAAAACAAATAATGTAAACAACAAACTTCATGTATTGTATGGATGCTCCTGGCTTTCCTGTTAACTGAATACACTTGCCGGGCATGAGTGTTCTCTTATTTTGGAGATCTGGAATGTAAAAGTGATTGACTGACGGATTGCAAAACTTTCTTATGAATTTGGACTGCAAGAAATGGTATCGTTTACTGTCTCACAGTGAAGGGACTGTGTGTTCCTACGTAGTCTTGTTGAAGCTGAAGAAATCTTGATGATAGATTCATTGCATCCGCTAGTTTTCATCTGGATCCAGATCAAGGTCAACTTCATTGGAAATGTTAAGATAAAAGAAAGCATAGAAAGCCAACAAAAATACCAGTATAGCTGCAAGGACAAGTGCAACTTCCTGTAGGAATAAGAGAAAAAAGTAAAACAAAACGTGTTAGAAACAGTACCATATTTTCAGATAAATCAAGAATATTATTTCCCTTCTATAATACATATCAAAACGAGATCAGCCATATAATTGCACAAGGCATTGATACTTTAATGATTTCTTCTTTGTGATTACCATTTCAGAATGTTATAAAATCCATTCCCTTAATAAAGACTTTGGTGAGTCTGATATACTGCCAAAAATGGGATGGATGTCTTAAAGACCTAAAAATAGGAGCTTTATATCCTTTTATTATGCTATTCCTTCTTTTTTAAAAGAAAAGACAGAATCCATAAACCACAGTTTTGAACACAAATTTGAGTTATGAATTTACACTGTGAATTTTGATGTTTTCTAGCAATATGTTACTGCTTTTTGCCAACAAATTTGTAATTTTTTAATGAAGCAAACACAGTATGGTGGAAGTCAATGAAAATTGCTACCTCTACCTCCCAACCTCCTGGCATGCATTACAATATGGAGCTACAAAATCGTTCAGAATTGGATGAAACTTTTCTTCCTTCCCTTTGCAATAAGGCAAAAAGCACAACAATGTGCACTTGTGCTTGCCTCTCTTCCCATAAAATATTGCAACTTGCAGCATCTTCCTTAATTAACATAAAGGAGTCTTCCAAAGTATACATGATTTATAGCAGCTTTCAGAAGCAGAAAAATGTTTTTGCACTACACGTCATGCTCATTATGTGACTGCCTATCATCATATTCTATCTTAAAGCTGGACTCTGTTAAGCTCCAACTTTAGATCTCAAATATAATAAATCACAATTACCATACTCTTTATAACATTACTTCTTTCAAAGTGACATATTTTAAAGTTTCTATTCTCCTGGAAAGCACAGCATACTTCGTATAGTGTTGGCTTTCATTTTGCTAGACAATGAAAGAAGAAATACAAATTTGACAAAAATCTTTATGTTCCTGGAGCTCTCAGAAAGTGCGACTTCCACAGCTAACACCATGCACTGCTTCATCCTTTATCATCATGATGCATTTTTAAAATCTGAGGTGCTCAAAAGGAACAGGTTGGTTTGTTCCACCCTGAACTGTTTTCACAAATCTCAGCTTCATGTTGGCCTACAAACCATCTATGTCAGAACAATCCAGCTATAAACTTAAAAGGAGAGAAGAAAAACAGTTCAGTGACTTTACAACAACTAATCTGAATCAGTACAGAAGATGCCACATCAAACCTACTCTGCCAGTGGGATTGAAACAAGATGCCTACACCATACCTAGACAATTGTACACCCTTTACCATCCAAGGATAGAATCTGACCCTCTTTGGTGCAGAATTCATTGTGTCCTCTAAAATAGGTCAAGAGAATTCTTCCTGATAATGCCTGTTTCTCCCCTTAGACCAGAAGGGGAGTAGAGATGATACCTGCACTGTAGGATGAATTCTATCCAGGATCTCTAGATTGATGGTGGCTTTGTGACTGACTTTGTGTGTCCACTGCCATGAAGGAGTTAAAACTGTTGGTCTCATCTTTTTTAAAGTCTAGCCCTTAATCTGGCATTCTTCTATAGAACAGCATTTCATTTGCATTTACATGAATGCATTAACTAGTTCATCAGAATGTTGGATCAATAATTCAACATATGCCATCTAATAAACTTTGAAATACTACTGCCTAGTTGGCATGTGCTCTATAGGAATTTTTGTTCTATAGAAACCTTTGCTTTACATTTTATACAGATGATTAATTGCGATGTACTTTAAATTTATTTTACCACATTAAAATTGCTCTTGTAAATTTGCTGAGGCTGTTTGCTGCAGAATTCAACTACATTTTCCTCTTAGAATTATCATCTTCTGAACCTCATCCTCCTGATTTCATATGATTTGATTAAAAACAAAAAAAGTACATCTAATTCAGTAATATATTAAAGGAAAGTGATTTTTGCTTTGTTGCAGTTGCAACACGTCAGTATCTCACAAAAGGGCATAGCAGCATCAGACAGGTTTCATTTATTTCCTTGTATCCACAGCTGTGCTCCCAGACCCATCTGGCCACGCAGCTACTAATCTTAAGAGGATGCAATAAACAAGTGACATACAACTGCAAGCTCCATCTGCTCAGGAGAGTGGACACAAAACCGTACAATGCAGGCACAGTTCACGCTTGATACAGAGAGCAAATTCCTTCCAATATTAAAAAGTTTTTTCCCTTGTTTGGATGCCATACTTGCCACACTTTGCTTTACAATAGGTTCACCTGTTCTATCCCTTCTCCTCAGCCACACTTCTGAAACACTGCGATTGCAGCAGCAAAATTATGGGGAATGTTTGCATCAAAGATCTGTTTTCTAGGAAGTAAAACTGGGAAAATCCTACTTTTTTTCTCAAGCTGCCCAGTGACTGTTTTGACAGGAGTAGTTCCTTTATTCCTCTGCCTAAGCTTTACAGTGAATAACACTGAGGTAACAATGCTATTTTCCTTGCTCAGGCATTAGGAACTGGGTGGCTGGATCAGTATTTATTAACCCTCAGAATAAAAAGCCTTACTGAAATTCCAGGTTTGAGAATTATGCAAGAACCTTAATTTTGAGTTACTAAAAGAGTACCAAAAATCTAAAATAAAGGGCCTAACAAAGGACACCTGGCTCTCAGCTAGTGATATGCATTCTCTTAAGAATTGTATCCAGTTTATGAACTTTTCTAAACATAAATTTTGCAATGCAAATAGCAAATGAGATGCTACACCACTATACTGTCTTTGCAACAGTAGTCTATATTGTCATTTTAATTTGTTTTGTACTTATCAGGCTTTGCTATTTGTATTTTAAGCCATGCATAGAAATGAAATGTTAAAATACTCCCCGCTTGGCATATATAGCTCCCTTTCTCCTGCATTTTATGGATCATCCCCATCATCCCTCTGTGAAATCCATTTACTCAGAGGATTTCATCATGAATAATTAACCAATATAGAAAAAGTCTTATAGAAATAAACTTAAAATGATCACAGGGCTTCTTCTCCTTTTTTTCTTTTTTAACATGGAACAGAACACTAGGAAATAACATCCCTGCTCTCAAATCGCAAAGAAGCCTTCAAAAGGAACAGAATTTTCTATTATATTCTCTTACATTTAGAATAACATCTGTAGAATCCTACAAATTTCAGCTTGGTTAAGTTTTTGAGAAACTTTTCCATAAAGGAAACATATGCCATAACAGCATAATGTAGATTTAGTTCTTTCGTTAGTTCTTTCATTTTTTGACAGTTCTATGTCTCTCATGCCAAAATACTTGGATAATGTCCTCGGATTCACCCTGACGGAGCAAGGTGCAGAGTTGGGCTCTAAACAAGACTAATCAGAAATTGAAAAAAGCAGCAGTGAGGATAAAAAGTTGGCTATAACAACATAAATCACAGAATCAGAGAATGGTTAGATTTGGAAAGTACCTTAAACATCATCTAGTTCCTAACTCCCCCATCACAGGCAGGGACACTTTCCACTAGATCAGGTTGCTCAAAACTCTATCCAACCTGGCCTTAAACACTTTGAGGCAATCCACATCCACAACTTCTAATTCCAGACACCGTGTATGGCAGCATCACATCCCATGCATACAGGGAAATGTTACACTTTCAGGAAATTTCAGATTTTTTACATATATTTTTTTTATTGTCCTACAAAGAGAATCATACCTTTTGTTATCTGCAACCAGCTTAAAACTAAGTGAAAGAGTACCACAAATTGCTGTCTTTGAAATGCTAAACTGTCCCTACTTATTTCTGGGAAGAGATGAACAGAAAAACATACTGACCAAGGATACCTGTAGAATTTAAAGAAACACAGATGGACTTGAGAATCATGAACCTTTTCATCCCATATAATTTTTAACCAGAAGACTTTATCTGAACATTCATCATTTTTTAGAGTTTGAAAAAAATTATATTTAAAAATGGATGCAGAACATTCTACAGCTAATAAGAGGTAACAAAAGTAACTTAGTAACTTTTAACAGTCATTTTTGTGTTTGGGTTTTTTTTACTGTAAAAATTTCAGATGGAAGAAAGATCATTTTTGTCTCAAATAATGAGAACAAAGTACTATTACAGAGTCACCTAAAAGGCCTGGCTGTATGTTCACAAAGTAACAGGATTCATTTTAATATAGCTAAATGCAAGATAATATATACAGGTATCAAAGATGTCGATAGTACTTACAAAGTGCAGGACTCTGCTTTGAAAAACAGTGACTCTCGAAAGTCTTTTGGATTTAAGGGGTAACCACTCCCTCAGCACTCTGAATGTGCAAAGGCAGAAGAGCTTCCAGTAGGGAGATGACTGGTATTTATTTTATTATAGAGAAGAATGAGAGCTAGTTTGCTTACAGCATATAACTGTAAGGCGCTTCACAGTGTGGGGTCTTTCTATCTTGTTTACAAGAACCTCTCAAGGCTCAGCTGTGGTTAGATAAGATCTGTCTTGAAATAGGATGCCATTTCCTAGAAGCAAGAATGACTGAACATTCCATTTACCTTTTGGGGAAAATACGAACTTCCATGGCTGGGAGTCTTTTATGGTCAGATCTCTCAAAAAAGTATATTTTGGTTTAGCTTCAACTTGGATTTGTGTGAAAAGGAGGTCCTGGCAACCAGCCTTGGAGTTGGTAAACTCAGCCCTCTAGACTGCTCCACTCCTTCAGGACACAGGGAAGACTGCAATTACTTACATGGTCAGTGCTATATTCTGAACCCCTGAAGTACCATATTGTTAGAAGTAAAGGCACCTCATGCTTCAGTGCTTCAGACTTTTCTGTATAGGATAAAAGAAGTTTCCCTACTTTCCAGGAACCTTTCCTCCAATTGTATTGATTTAATTTCTAGGATTTGAGGTTTTGTTGTTGTCAACTGTTACTTTGAAGTGCTAGAGATTGGTCACAAGTACACACCAAAGCTGAGTAAGATGGACTAGTGCTCTGAGATGGTACAGAAAATCCTCCTAAGCTCCTGCTTGGTGCTTCTTGTGCATCTTGTTCCCATGTTCAAACCACCATGATTACTGTACTTATGTATACAGGTCAGGCCAGGGTCACAAGGGATCAATCTGACTTTGTTTTCCTGTCGGATTTTCCACACCCTTCCATTTCAAGGTCAGGGATCAAAGTCTGACTACTGAGATCACTGGGAACATCAGAGTCTGTTCACTGGTGGCACATTAAGCCGCCCTGCTCTTTACGTGAGGCACATAAGCTGAAGACCCAGTATTTTGGCCCTTACAAAGTGCCTGGACTTCCTAGAAAGTATTTGGACGAAATTTTACGATCTGTAACATATAGAAGGCCAGATCAAATGATCTAATAGCCCCTTGCAGGCTTATTTTCTGCAAAGCTATGAAACTATATTCCCAACTTATCTTGGCAAATGTAGTTCACTAACTTAGCAGATCATGAGCAGCATGAAATCAGAGAATGCTATTTGCCAAAATACACCAGGAACGTCTTGTTATCTACTCATACATAACTTGTTCCAGATGAGACACTCTTAATAGTGAGCTAGCTACCTACACAATAGATTAAGTAGATGGGCAAAAGAATGACAGTAAGCTCTCAGTTTTTTAGGATGCATTTTTTCCTTAGCTCAATCGATGTACTATCTTGCTAATAATTCTCTATGGAGTGGTATTCTGCAGTCAATTATGTTTTTGTGAGTGGGTGTAAAATACTATTGTTCAATTTGTGTCTAGCTTTCAACAAGAGAGAAAACTTCATCATCTATCACATGGACCAGTGATTCATTCTGCAGCCTCTGAACAAAGTCTTTCCCCGAGAACTCCTATTAGTTTTAGCCTCTGCATACCAAACCCCACCTATTTGGTGCTGAGCTTCTACATTCCTCAAACCATTTTCTGCTTGCCATCCTCCTGCTGGCACCTCTTCCTCACCCTCTGAGAACCAAGTTAGCACTGATGGTGCAGACCCCTTGCTGCTTGAGCTGGTAAGGATGAGCAGGTGGGCTTCCACCTGCACAAGCTCCCTGTGGGGGATAACAAAACAACCACACAAAGATTCAGAGGCTCCCTTTTTGGTACTGCTACAAAAAATTCTGTCGTACCCAAACACCAGGAGACATACAGCATACTGCTTTCTCTACAAGTTGTTTCTCAAGACAGGGGTCCTGCTCTCCCAGTAGATACCATATATTTTGGCACTATCTGCATTAGTGTCACATGTACAAGCAGAGCCACCATAATACCTCTGTTACAATATTTAATCTTTAAACATGCTTAAAGAGCAAATATTGCACACCAAATACTAGCATGGTCACCCTGCTTGAACTAACTTTTGATAGTTATTAGTGCTCAGCTGCTTCTCTGACATTATCAACACGGATAAAATCTCTCATTGGGGAAATTAAAAAGTACTAAATGCCAGTGACTCAAAGAAACTTTGTTACTTTAAACCTTGCATTAAAATGACAAGGCAATCAAAGTTTGACAAGACAAGCTAATTAGTATGCCAGCAATGAAATGTGAAGGATCTCCAGGGGATTGGTTCTGAAAAGTTTTATGTCATTTACAGGGCCTTTTTTTTTTTACAGCAAATGTTGTCAGCTCTCATGGTGAAATACACAACATCTGAATTTCATTATCTTTGTAGAAATTAAGGACTAAAATACCTCCATTATTTTCCAGTCCTTTTTTTTTTTCTTTGCCTAAGAAAAGTCTACACCAAGTCTTAGTTTACAGCCAGGAATATAAGCTCTTCAGGACACTAGTGCAAAACAACTCTGGAAGGATCAAGGTGCACTAAAAATCCTACAGTTTCAAGTGTTGGTATGATACTTATTGTTTTAGGTATTTCAGAGAATTACAAAAATATTCCTCTTTCCCAAACAACTTGTACTTTTACATGTATGAAAAGAACATCCTTCCTCTACAATACTTTTACTAACTGCAACTTAGCTTTTTATAAGAAAATGTTTCTATATTTTGAAATGCTGCACACTGCATTATGTACTGAAGCCTGGATAAACAAATAAAATGTATGGTAAATAAACACAGATTTGTAAGAACTTTGGACATTCTATTTAAAGTGCTGCCTACTTACTGCATTACACTGGGGTTATACTAATTTTTTTTTTCTTCAACACAGACTGAAGTTAGTCAACTGTCACTGCACAGAATCAGAGCCTACATCACATAAAAAGACTAAAATTCCAGCTTTTGGAAAGCGAATCATATTGTTTATTGCTATGAGAAAACTTTGTTAATACGAGGTGACAACTGTGATGATACCTTCCCAAAGGAATAGCTCAGGCACACTCAAAAGCCCTGAATATTAGGAAACAATTAAAGGAATGCACCCTCAAGCCTCAAAACAATTTAGCGAATGTACAGAACCTGAAGAGACAAGGAGTGATTTAACACTCTGCTGTCACACTAAGCACAAGACTTCAAGAAATTCTAATTTCAAAATTTATATAGAAGATAACAGAAGTATCTGGGATAGGTGTGGAGAATAAGTGCAAGAAGACTGCTTTTGGACAGCTGTGAGAACTTACAGTGGCCTGAGCAAAACAAGCCCTGCCTGGGAGAGGGAGAGAGCTTACAGGGCTTCACAACTAAACAACCTCTCCTTGGGTCGGAATGGCGATTTCCCTGCAGACACTCCAGGCACATCCACTGCCCGCATAGCAAAGCTCTGCTGAACTGGGGGAATAGAGCAGGGTGAAAAGTTGTCACTGCAAGATGGGAGGTGCAAGTTTACCCTGAGACATTAAATATGCCTCACTTCTGTGCTGAGCGCTTCACAGTCTGCCAGTAGAAGCACAGTTTTATTCTACAGGGATTGACCATATTCTGGTAGAAGTATTGTAACATTTAGTAAGCCTGAGGTTGTTGGCATTAAGCAGGTTCAGTGAGAAGGATGCACACAAAGGCCCTGCTTTCCTTCCCCCCACAAGCATATCCCAAGGGAAAGGTGCCCAACCTACCTTCCCTTTTGCTTCAACTCTGTCAGCTTTTCTCAGCAATTAGGAAGCAAAGCAAAATGACTGTGATCTGTTTGGGTATGATCCAGAGTCATATTTTAAGGTTCAGGTGTGCAAAAAATACTACAGCTGGAAGACAGTATTTTAAAGACTTTGGGATTTTTTTAAAGGCAGAGGCAGAACTGCAAACCTGAGACACTGTGCACTGCTATTATCAGAACCCCCAAAACACAACATCCTGTGACATGGAGAACATGGGTGTGCCTTGATGGCAAAACTCATTCTTACGTAGATGTCAGCTGGTGTTCTGCTAAAACATGCAGGAGAATATTTGCACAAAATACACTGTTCTCAATTTATTTTCTCACTAAAACTTTATTCTTCACTATACACAGGATTACACATATGTTTTCCTATTCTCCCTATTTTAAAATAAGAATTACTGAAGAAAACATGGAATCAAAACAGGTTTTAAAGAACCAAGGTTCATATTTTTCTCATTTGTGAAAGACATGCAAAAACCTTGCATGTTTTAGAACTGGACTGTACAGTAAAACAGTACTCCAAGTAGAACATCACTTTTAAAAGGTCATGTTATTGAAAGCAAAATGGAAAGAAATAAAAACAAGATCTAATAAGAAAGGAAGGGAAAAACACTGAACTCAAAAGGTTAATAATCTATCCCTTAAACAAAAAAGGCAATCTACCTTTTCTCATTAAAACCTGACACACAGCACTAACTGAAGAGATTATGTTGTGAAAACATACTGCATTGCATGGTAATGCTTGATCGAGATCGGCAATCAGGAGCAAAAAGAAAGCACTGTTTCGTGATTATAATAGCAAATTCTGGAAGACAACCAAATACATCATCTGGCAGCTCAACAGCTGTTACAACTTGGTAGTAATACCTTGGCATTTGCTATAAGCTATAACTTGAAAAAATTGATTTCTCATCTGCCAGAAACAAGAAAATGTTCTCCTTTTAACATTTCTGAAGTTTCTTCCACTAGAATATCCAGGTATTTGATCCACTTTTTTATTCTGCTCAGTTTTTACCCTTGCTGCTAACCTATTTGCATATTAACCTGATTCAAAAACAAGTTTGAGGGAAAAATAGTGGCTGCAACTTAAATCAATTTTCCATGCATACAGTACTTTATTGACCCTAAAGTAAGTATGCGTCATAACAAGGACATGGACCACTTAAAATCTTTCAGCATTTCAACTGTTCTAGTTATTTTAGGGTTAAGTAAAAGCAATCCATCATAAATATTTTAGATTCTGGCATTCCACTTAGATTTTGAAGTGTCATAAACAATATCTCTCAAAAATCAATATTCACACAGTACATCTATGGGGAAAAGAAACAACATATACACAAAGGTGGTATAAGCTGTCAAACAGATCTCTACCTTTACGCCTAGTGCAGTTTTCTTGGCCTCTGCTTTTAATCTTGTAGCTCTTAACATAGGCCTGGTTTTCTTATAATCTTGTTTTCCTAGAGTAGAAAAGCACATTTAAGGAAAATGACACAAAATATAATATAAAGAATATCAGCAATTATTTCAGTTGAAAAGTCAGATCTAATGTTTTGCAAACATCCCCTAGTCCAGCACTTTAAAGAGGAGCTATTCTGTGAGACTGGGGCTTGGTCTGTGGAGAAAAGGTAGCAGAGAGAATGACAGCAACAAGCAAGAGCCAACAAACCAGTGCAGAACCTAGTACTCCAGAGGAACATCAAAACACACGTACAGTTAGCCATCCACTAGTATAATGTTTAGGTCAGTAAGCATCAGACAACAAATAAGTAGATTAAAGATGGATGATGTTTTTCTCTCTCATTTCAATCAAAACAAAATTTTCATTATAATTTTTGTTGGGTATTCATCCCTAATGCATATATAAATGTGTAATACAGGACATTATGGTGAGTGTAAATGTTGATCATTATGAACCGGAACATTATTTGCAAGTATCAGAACTCAGAGACATGAGTGTCAGTCCAAGTAAGCGCTTATAAAACCACTGCTTCACACCACTTGCTTGTAGAAATGTGTTACACAGAATCTTCTAGAAGTGTCTCAGATGACTTTTATGGGGACTATCTCTTGCAGGCACAAAGAGTGCAGCCGAGTGCTTGATTACTGTGCGTGCATATGAACTGAGTTCAGAGCAGGACACGCAAGTACTCAAAAATGGCATAAATCATTTATCTCAATAATACAGAATAAAATGCTTGATATCTCTCAAGGATATTTTTGCTTTCTGAAGGGGCTGTTATTGCTGTATTATGTACTATTTAAGTTAACATGAGTCAAGGCTCAGATACCGTCACAAAAGGAGGGGAAAGAAAAGAGTAATCAGTGAAAAAACTCCTCAGAGAGGTAGAGCTTCAGTGTAACTGCTTTGGCTGTTCAAAGATGTCCTTTCCATTCCCCTTGCTCCCCTAAATGCATACATGCCCTTATGTCCTTTTCGCCTATTTCCAAAGCCAAGCTACAATGATGTAAGCAGGAGTGTTTGGCTGTTTTTAAACCACTAATTTTATCTAGTTGTACATTAGCTTTCATTATGGTTATATTCAAGTAATTCAACCTTTCCTCTAAAACCATGCCCACTAGTTTTTTGTATGCAATACTCCCATTTGCTCAACCAGATGTGATCTTGCATTCATAATCACTAGTGCAATCTTCTATTTTATGATCACCTTCAAAACTGGAATATTTTGCAGTGGTGAAATTGTAAGACATGAGTTGGAAAAGAAGGTCTTCTCCAGCGATACACTGGGTTCATGAAAATGCACCTCTGTCTACTTTCTCTATCACTGCTCATATTCAATACAGAGCAACTCTGTAGCATACTGTGGATGCTGAACTCACATTACGAATTTGCCTTCATTGCATAATTTCTCCTCAACCCCTAGGGATTATATATTGTGAACGTCTCCATATTATCCTTTGGTCAGGTATTATTCACGAAAGACCTGAAACAACTTAGAAAAATAACCAAAACCATGCCTACGGGTGGAGGGAAGTATATATACAAGGAACCTTTTTAGAGGACTAAGTGAAGAAAAGATGACCATTTTTGTCTCATGCTCCAATATATTCATCCAGTCAATTTATCTCAACTGCAGGACAGGATTATTCTTCAGAAATCAATGACATCTGGTAATAGGATGCGTCAAGAGTACAGTAAGCTTTTTGAACAGTTAGGGAAAGAATTACAGGAACCACCAAAATGGCTATGTCATAAGAGGAAGCCGGCCAGAAAGAGTACGTTTCTTCTCCCTAAAGTACTGCAGTCATACTTTTGTTATGAACTAGTTAAAGAGCTGTCAGAACTTCCACTGTAAATGGCAAGAGTTTATAACTCATGAAAATTCACTCCAGACTGAAATTTGGCATAGATGTACCCCTGCCTTGAATTTTCTTGTTTGTTTGCTGGGAGCCAGCTTTCAATAAAGTGATGCAGCTGTTCTTACTTACTTGTGAACAAACTACAGAAATTTATCCTCCTGAGATGTTTTAAGCACGAAAAATACCTTTGCTCAGAAGTATATAACTGGCAAGGACTAAGTTCAATTTCAGTTCTCATAATTCAGGTTTACTGCTCTCCCACCTGGGGTAAATAAAGCAGGATAGTCAGAGGTTTCCCTTCCAGTGATGCAACAGCATTAGATAATGAAGCTTTGTAAGGATCATTAGGAATGGGAAACAAGTGAGCTACTGAAACCCATCTACCCTTCCTCCAATGGCCTATTCTCCCTCTTTCTCTCCAAAGGTCAACTGTGAAGGTGATACAAGCAGGAATAAACATTGCACAGGAGACCCAGTGTGTGAACTGCATATATTGGCAGAACCAAATCTATCATTAGAAAATGGAAAGCTTATTGGTGCTCTTTCCCTTGGTTTCAGGCACTATGCTACTGTTTATCATGGCTATGGCTAAGACTGGATTCTACTTATCTAGAGAATACTTCCAGAGTTATATTAAATCTGATATGAACAACTAACCCCCCTGCATAACAAACAGGCTATTTCAACAATGACTCTAGAGCTGGTAGTCCTCCAAATCTATGCACCTGCCATTAATTTACCACTCTCCTTGCTAAATGTGATAGCCAAAATGAAAAAAAAAAAAAAAAAAAGGTAGGGAGGTAGGGAAACAGTCTGAGTCCACGAAGTGCAAAAGTTTAAAAAGGGCATCTGTGGAGTTCTTGCAATGAAAACCAGATTCAGCACTTGTACTGAAAGACTTTTAAAAGATCTGAACTTTCTGAGGCCTTGGGAAAGACATCTGCACTACAGAACTATAAAGAACTATGAAATGCAAAGCCCCTACCACGTGAATACTGATCACTGCCACCTGGAAAACAAATAGAACTAGATAATAGAGGCCCCCTATGTTCTTTCAGGCCTGCAAATTCAGCCAGTTGGAATACGTATATTCACACTCCTAATGTCTTCTAGTTTTATCTCACTTACCCTGCTAGCTTTCTTGTACATTTATCTGTCAAGAGTCATCACGATTAAGCTGTTTCTTCTTCCCAGGAAGTGACCATCAAAGCCAGTTAAGGCGGACTCATCAGACAAAGCCCCATTTGTCTGCTTTATCCAATGTCTATTCAAGACACGGAGTTTTCCCGAGGGAACATACAGAGGCAAGAAGAAACCAAAAAGACAGAACTGGAGAATTTCCAGACCAAATCTTACTTTTTGTATTACTTAAGCAAAATCCCTTCCTCTTCTACTTCTCACTAGTGTTATTAATTAATACCCTCTCAAACTTCAGTGCCAGCTTTTCTTCATTGTTTTATGACTTACCCTAATTTCCTTTTTTTAATTTTTTTTCTTACAAATTTGCCACTTCTTTCCTTACAACTTTTTGTAAGTCAACACGTTCCATTTTTAAGGCCAAGGAACTAGTCTGTTAAGTCTGTTCCTACTGACTACAGCCATCATCTCTCTTCTTTTCCTGCCTCCCGTCAGTTCCTCCCAGGACCCTGTGCAAAGACCATCCACCTTTCCATTTCAGCGCTTGAAGATGCCTTTGCCCTTTGGAAGCTCTCCAGAGCTCAACCTTCATCTTGCCCTTTCCTTCTATCCTTCTTACACATTTTTTCCCACTCCTTTGGTGGCAAAGTGACCTCAGTAGCAGCTGAACTGAGTTGTGCCCTGTTTACAGATCCAGCTTGGAAAGCTTTCCAAAGGTAGAAATGAAGACTATTCTACTAGGTGTGGAATTAGAAAAGGATGAAGACAAGGTGAAATATAGGGACTTTTTTCACTATAAAACAAAGCTGTACTGCGAAAAATGACAAAGTGTCTCCCTTAGAGCAAGTACTGGGATTCACATAATACATAACATGATTTTGTTTCTCCTCATGTAGCTAGGAATAAAATTTATGGATTTGAAAATAATTTTTGTTATTTATCTCTACTCATAAGGCAAATTGAGATCCTATGTATCTTCTATTTAGTAATTTTCCTAACATACTACGGATGACCTGATCTTCTATATTCAGTATTTTTCTTGACTTAAACCTTCAGTGACACTATGAGTAACGCAAAAATCAAACTAAATAATACATATGAGCTAGAAAAGTTCATGAAGTTCTGGGTGACTGGTTTTTTAGTCTGCAGAAATACTGTGACATTACCAGGTAGTATGCATAACGCTGTATGGTTGTATACATACCAAGCTCTGCATGTAACTGGGAATGCAACATGCTGAGCACTATATTTAAGAAAACTGACTCTATTTATGACTCTGTTTGAAGATGCTGCCATAAAGACAAAACCTGAACAAATCTCTAGAATACTTCATGAGGAAAAAAAAAAAAAATATTCCCAGCTCTTCTAGATATTTACTTTTTCATTCTAACAATAGCTCATTACTGGAATTGAATAACAGACTAAAGACTGCCTCTCTGCCTTTCAATTCATCAGGCTTAAGCAGAAACAGGACTGCATCTTTGGCCTTTGTTGATGCTGCTGTCCAAGCTTATTATCATATGAATATCTAGTTATTGTTTTATAAATGTTCACATTTCAGGAGCTCCCTGATTTCTTTTCTTTCAGTAGACTTTACAATATCCACCTTCATTATCATCATGTGGCAGCATTGCTCTTTTCCTGCATTTGCTGCTTTAAAAATTAATGCACTGCTATTTTCTGAACACTGTACTGCGTAAGCTGCTTATGAGTACATTATGCTATCAAGCAAGCACATGCAGAAAAGCTCCCTAAACTGTTATTCTTTCAATGAAAATACAGCTGGTTCTGCTTGAAAGGCACTTCTTTTCACCTGCAAATGGACTTGCTCTTATACTTATTCCTCAATTCATTGTCTTTTATTTGTGTCTGCAAATCTTTAATTGCCTTTAATTAGAAAAAAGTAAATTCAGTGCTTTAATCTTGCAAATACATTCAATCATAATTCTGTCTGGGATGAATACCAAGTTCTATTCACTGACTGATCTTTATAACAAAGGTA